ATTATCCAAACATGCTACGGTAGGGTTTTGTGATTTCTTTATCTGGTTCGGAAGAGAGTGGGAATAGTTTTAGATAGCACAGTATAAGTATTATACAGTGAATTTTTTTTAAATGCGAACATAGGAGTTTGTATGCAATATAATTTCCCTATGTTCGATTTAAAAAAAAACACATCAATCTATTGAGTAGTTCAAATGAGTAGTAGATACAATTGACAGCTGTCACATTTTTAAAAATACCGCCGTTCAATTTAATTACGAAATCGGTTAGGTTATTGCTTAGAATGTCAAGGAGGGCACTTGGAACATTTATTGTAATTGTTTGCGTTATTTATTTTCTTATTTTCTTCATTTATGTATTGAATACATCAAATTAGTAGAATACCAGGTGCACATGACCTACAAATAATTGAAGGTTGGTTCACAATGAATTGTGATGTCAGCGCGTGCCATGTGAAGTCAAGTTATCGTAAGTTTAAGAAAAATTTATCCTAAAGTTGCTATGGCCTCACATGGCTTAATTAAAAGAATCTTACCGAGTACTATTCATCATAAAGACTATGAGTTGCTGTTCATAGTCACACAAATTGCCCGTTTTGGGAATGTGAACCGCGCACATCTCATATATTGATGTGTTTTTTTTAAAATCGAACATAGGGAAATTACACTGCATGCAAACTCCTATGTTCGCATTTAAAAAAATTCACTGTATATTATAAATAATATAATATGATATACTGTTGTTCTTTAGAAATTAACTTTTCATACAATTCTGGACTACAATAAACACCTTGAACGTTATGAAAATGAGAAAAAACCACCCTCACATATAAAATTCAAATATTAGTAGGTAAATGCAAGGAATTCACTTATTGACAACGCTTAATATTAATTTAGGGTTTTAGTGCGAAAAAACTATGTTTTGTGGAGACAGCCGAAATATGCCAATTTTCAACTGGCTCTCGAGCCCGAACGGTTTATCGAGGAAAAAAAACTAAATAGTGGAATCTGTAGGAAATTTTATGTACTTTAATTTTGAATAGGAAGATTATTTTCGAAAAGGTGATAGTTTTCAAGTTGTAAGCACAAAACTGCCAAAAAAAATATCTTTTTCAACTTCTTTTGTATTTTTTTCAATGTTGCGTCATGAAATTTTGTTGGCAAACCTCAGATTCGGATTCAGCACCCCAAAAAACATATAGAATCAAAGAAATCAAAACTACCCCACAACTTTCCTGGTAAAAATACAATTTAACTGGATTACAGCGTGTAAACGCATACGTCTGGGCGGTCCGTTCTATTTTTATATAATTTTTCAAATTTTGACAACACTGCAAACAAAAGTGTATTAATAAACGCCTGCTATCAATGTAAAACTAATATTGGAGAGAAAAAATAATAAGGCGCTAGCACATTGACAGACGTTTTTCGTTGTTTATTCGCTTTTGGTAGCATATATTATGTAATGTTCCAAAAGCTGCTAAGAAAAAGTTTGATTGGCAAACGGATGTCAAAGTGGAATATCAAATGTATTAATGGTAGACGTTTATAATAAACTTTTGTTTGTTGTGTTATCAAATTGTGTTGAAAAAGGGCATAAAAAGACGTATGATATACGTTTACACGCTAGTTCTAACGTATGTAAACAGAAAATTGCGATGACAGACGTTGAAAAATCACCGCACAACATCTGTCGTTATCTCTCGGCCTGTCCCCAACCACCAATGCTGTCCTCTACGATCAAGTTCAGAAGTGGTTGGGGGTTGACAAGAATCCCACGAATTGGAGTGGGTGGAGACTATGCAAAGACTTGTCCCACGGAGCCTATTGAAATATGCCTCGTGTAAGGGTAGCTTCTGCGGCGCCATGTACGGCATACCGGACGCCAAAGAAGCGGCCCACCAAGGGTGCTTCCAATCACGGAAAACCTTGGAATTGTTGTGTAGAGTTAGAAGGAAACTAGTGTGGGGGCCGATAATAAAATGTTGCCTGAAACGTGTTTTTTATTGACAAATTCCCCTAATTTAATGCTAACATCTTTTTATATTCTTTATAATTGTCTGTCTTTACTGAATTTGGATTTTGCAGGTTCCAACTTTTTTTCTGCTTCTGCATCTACCCACTGAATTGACGGTGTATTATTTTTTCCAACCGAAGTCATTTTATGTACAAAGACACACAAAGCAATCGTATGGAATTAAGAATAAGCTTCCCACTTAATCAGAAATGTATTCGGGTATAAAGTCGATATGATTTTATTTTATTTCAATTATTTTAAAATTATATTGCAGATACAATAAAAAAAATACTATAAGAAACGCATGTATAGCCTTTAAAGCACTTGGACCGCTTAAAGGCACTCTTTACGCTTCGTGCTTTTAAACTCGTGTATGATTTAAAGACATTAATATACTTTAAAAACATTTGAAAGTCTTTTAAAAATTCCTTAATATGGTTTACGAGTGTTTAAGGTACTTGTCTGGTAAAGATTTTTATGAATCCTTACCAGTTTTCAAATTTTTTATTTTTCATTTGCCTATATGTCAATTATATCTGTCATATGAGATATATAAAGCAGTCTATGACATGAGAGGGCATAATGAGATGACAATCCATTATGCCCTCAAACTGCCTGTCAAATATATTGACGGAGTTATGTAATAAATAAGATGCTACTTGATTCGTATGAAGCACTAACAATAATTATTACATTTGTATATTGGAAATGCATTATTTGGAACGATGAAAAATAAAATGTTGTATGCACCTCAGGCATTACTCGATATTTAACCCTCGGGCGACTTACAATCCCTCGGGCCAGAGGCCCTCGGGCTCTGTCGCCCTCGGCATAAATATCGCCTTAATGCCCTTGATACATAAATAACTATTATGGGTTTCTGTAGCTGTTGCTTTCTATCCTATAACTTTTCCCATCTTCCATATTTTGTTCCTTTTTTCAATTCCATTTTCACAAACCTGCCTAATACATATATGTAGTCGATCGTTCCCTCCCTTTTCTGAAACCCATTTGTATTCCCTTGAACATCATCTTCTCTTCTATTTCTCATTCTAGTCTTTCGTTCGGTGTCATTGCATAGATTCAACACGCCGTAGTCATTATACTATTTATCCATTAATTTCCCAAACAATCTTTGTTCCCTCTTTTGAAGATCGGCACAATAACCTCTTCCTTCCACTCTTCGGATCCTTTGCATACCTTGTTTACTAGATTCCTCATCCTTTCCTTAACCCTATCTGCCCTACCGCTTTCCCTTTCTTCAGTTTTTAATTACTGCTCGACTCCCTCATCTCCTTTAACCTCCTCTCTTCCTACCTTTTCCTTATCCTCCTCTTTCTCCTGCTTTCCTTATAGTAACAACATGTTGTTTCCATTTTTCTAATTGTATGGTGGTGGTACATATGGTAGATGATACGCATCATACCACATTCAACAGTAGAATCACACGGCGTGTTATGTCAACAAAATCACAGCCCCCCCCCTCCCCCCGCGCCAATCAATCCCCACCGTCGAACAGTGTTTTATAAGCCAGCACACATACATTGGAATTCATTCTGCTGCGAGCTGCCCTATAGGAAGCAGTTGGATCAAGCAGATCTCCCCATAGTGAGGCAAATTTCGACGACGACGGTATTAAGTAGTTCGTTCAGTGTTTGCAATCATTTAGTTTTGTTGTTTTCTTATAATGTTAATTTAGTTATTTATGAGTTGTTGTAAATCGTTTAATAGTTGGAAAATAACTAAAACATACGATACCGAACAACCATACTATTTCCCCTTTCCTTTTCTTTTTTTATTTCCCGGATTTGCTCTTCGTATTCTTTCTTTTCGTCCATCTGTTTTTCTTTACATATTCTTTAGTATTCTTTTTCATTTTCTGTTCTCTCGTCTCTTTCTCCTCTATTTCCCCTTTACTTTCTTTCTCCATTATTTCTCTATATCTATTTCTCTCTTCTGTACAACACTCGTTTCTATTTTCTCGCCCCTCCTCTTCAGTTATTTGTCTCCACGTTATTGCTTTTTTAATAATCTTCCTCATATTAGTCCACTCCTTCTCTGTATTTCCTCGTATATTCCTTTAATTTCCGTCTATACAGCTCCACCGTGTCTCTGGTCTATAACTGTATCTCCCTTCGTGTTTGCGTCTTTTCATTTCTTCTCTTTTAGTTTCAATTCCATTGGTTGGTGATCCAATTCTATCCTTGTTCCTATCTTAATATCTATTTCTTCCAGTATTTTTTCATTTACTATTGTTTAATGAACTACCGACCTCCCTCTTCCTCCCATATGTGTGAATTGCCCGTCCTTATCCCTCTCTATACTTCCGTTCAAAATTCTCTCACTTCTCTTTTCTGATAATTTCAGTATAATTTCTCTCTTTGTTGCACTCATTATCTCTTGGTTGTTCAATTTGTGATCCTCTTCCTATCTCTACTAATTATCCTTAAAATCGCTGTTGTGGCGTTAGAATCTATTCTCCCAATCCTCCTCCTTTTCATCTACCATATTTTCTCTTTGGCCGATACCGCCAGTGCGCTTTCTGGTATAATTATTATAGTTCAGCGACTGGACGTTGGCAATTTTCCGAGATAACGGCTCGGTCGATTTTGTTCAAATTTTTGATTAATTAGGGATACGGAAACGAAAAATAACGGGCCGGATTTTGGGAAAACAATTTTGGATCCTCTCAACCGACCAACCAACATATTAAATTATTCTAAAGATTTTCTTTTTCTATGTATAGGGTGGTTCAAATTCGTGGCTCACAATATGGGTCCTTACAATATTATCTCAATTCTTGAATATAATAACGACAACGCTTTTTCATGTTTGATAAAATTTTTGGAGAGGGAAATATCACTTTGTAATGTATAAAAATGACTTCATTTATATGCAAGAGATCCTTTGAACACATCTTGTCCATCGTCTAGCTAGAAGATCTGGCTGTTGTTACCCAACGTAAAAACCATCTTTGTTGCAGATCCCCAACTGAAGTTTTCCAGTGGATATCGCTCAGAACTACAGGAACGTGCACTGATAATATCATTACAAATGTTCAACCTGATCCTGGAACGTAGCATATCTTTACTTAACGAACACAGCAAGCTGTTCCCCGACTCCTTAGAGAAACTAACAATGAATTCGGTCTCCCAAGATTTCCACATGCTACTACCGGCATTGAAGATATGGTGCGATTGGATGCTGTGTCATAGTATCGTGTGGAATCCACCACCGTCAACCCAAGACTATAAAATCGGGTAAGTCAGCCCCTACCGTTTAAGTGTCGTGGAATAATGACTTTTGTCAACCCCTAGACCGGCGGGCGACGTATGGACTCGATTAGCCTCAATTATGAATATCTTAGAAAAATTCGACAAATCGATTGCGACATCTTTCGTTTCGGAACCACGCGAAGGTGAGTTACGGTTCCGATTATCTCGTTAATTACTGATTCAAACTGTTTCAGGCTATGAGCTTATCAGACTGCCTGAAGACGCCGTTTTATGCGGTTTCACCCCCTTAATGTATAACGATCACTCCCCCACGTACGCACCTCAAGATATCGAACCCGAAATTGCACAATTTGCGCTTCGCTTATCAAAAGTACACTTTTTCGGTACCGTTTTTCTCTACGGTTTAGAAGAGCCGGTAATTAAGTTAGAAATATACAACGGCGTCAGGGAGTACATTTCGGTGGTTAGCACATCCGCAAACAAGGATTCGCCACCCTCACCGGTCGAGCTCGTAAGTTGTCACCCTCATCATGAGCGAAATTCACCTCGCCATTTTACAGATTGACGATGATGACTTGTTAGTCGAAAGTTTCAGCGAAGACGAGGGGGTTGAAGACGATATCAGTTCCTCCCACGAAAACACATCCGCCGAAATCCAGTACCTCTTGAATCGGAAGGTTGAACTTGAAAAACGTCAACGCACCCAGGAATTGCATCGGCAACGAGTACAGGTAAGACCTTGACATTGTTTTCCGGTTCGATGATTTTACTCTCATGCTTTGTATGAGAAAGTGTTGTAAATTAATTCACGTAATTCTTTCTTACGTTCAATTTCCTGCTCGTAATTAGTAAGATGCACGTCAAATTTCAAATTTGCGCATATGATTTTGGCTTTTTGTATCAATTTCCGCCCTGTTAAGTTGTTTCATTTTTTATTTCGCCGACAAGTATGCAAATACATTGAAAAAATACCGTTGTCACGGTCAAGAAATACTTGGCCATCTTTTAGGAAGGGTATTAAGTTTTGATTTTTGTACGAAAATAGCACTATAAGGATAGGGGATTTGTAGGGCAGCTGAAAACCTTTTCAAGTTTTGAAAATTTGCACATTCTATCGTAGGTTGCTAACGGTATTTTTAGCAAATATGCAGGGAAAGTAATTTTGAAATTTCTTTCATTAAATTAATCAAGTATTTGCCTTATTTTTGCGGTTTTACTATAATCTCTAAGCTGGCCTAGCCCTAGTTTCACTCCCTAATGTTTGCTGTTTGGTCATTATCTGTTAATTAAACTTAACAGGTGGTGGTGGCGAAACTAACATATGTATGTATTTTCAGGTTTTGTACAGGTAAGTCAATTGTTAATATTTTTTGTATTCAATTTGAAGAATTGTTTTTGATGTTGCGTACTATAGTGATAGCATTATCTACTGAACTACACAATTAATAACTTAGAAATCTAAAAGCATATCCGTTGCGTGCAATAAAGGACTTTTTTAAATCTCACCACTAAACAATTGGGAGGTTATTGAAACCGCTCCAGTGGGGCGCTGGAACCTCATCAATCCCACCGATCAACTGTATTTAATCACTCAATCAACTCACTGGGTATAAAAGGATTTTCCATAGTTTGCCAGCGCGAAATCGGTGCCATCACTAAGTATGTTTACATAGCATCATGCATTCAATGGGAGAGAATACGAATGTAGGCAGCAAGTGCTCCATTGTGATCTTTTTCTAACAATTTGGACGTAAGGGAAAATTAAAAAAAACTTACCCCATATTCAGCAGAAGAGCCACCATTGATTTCATGTCAAAATGAGGGATGTTTTGTGGCACTTTCGAATCTGGGTAGCAGTCGGTGTTAAAACTGGCGGTTCTTTTTATACACTAATGAGAAAGGAAGTTGAATAAAAACTCATAATTTTGTGCGTAAGAAAAGGCGGGAACATAAAATATATTACGGAGACAACTAGGCGATGTCAGGGAAACCTTCTTCTGGACAAAAACCCTGGCATAGCCCACACAAGTACACGAACTAAATTAACAAAAACAACAAAAGCAAAACATTTCAAATTCTGTAGCCATAAAAAACCGGTCACAACTTTCCATATTTTAGAAACGTCATATTTTTTCCAATAACATCAACGTGCATCGACCCAGCTGGTTGTTGAACGTCGCAAGGGCCTAACTTGTTCGCCAATTTTCCTGTTTTCGCCCTGGTAAATATCGAAGACGCGTTCCCTTCGGATCTCCATGAATTTTAAAACACTACAGGCGGCGTTAACCAGCAATTTTGTTGATTTCAAATATTGAGGTTGATATCTGAATAATACCGGAAAACCGTAGTACCGCACGTCCATTTTCTAATGCAATCTCATCAGCAGCATACCGTTTTAAAGGTTTGTTTTTGTACGTTAACACCCTTCACTATCTACTTTTTCACATACACATATTCTATCTGTAATGACATGCGGTTACTACGCCACCCACAAAAGACCTGTCCAACTAGCCCAAAACAAATTAAAATTGAAACTTGGAATTTTATAATCTCTCCTAGTACACAACTATTTACTGAATTTTTTTTTATTTGAGAGAAAATTACAACGAATTTATTACATAAATTTTGATCAACACCTGTAATAAATCTTGGGCACCAATAGAAAAAATCTGACATGAAGAATCTATCTGGGTTGCACAAGGATTCGAATAAACACACAATTAATTGATTGACAATGACACAACTTTATTCCGAAACACATGGAACAATTAGAACAAAATCCCTGAAACAAATAAAAGCTTACAAAGCTTGTTTGGACATAATACCCCGCACGCAGGCGGTCATAATTTTGTTTACTCTCACTCGAATTTTCTGAATACGGACAAAACCGTTTAAAAAACTTTCCACAATCTTTTACTACTCCACTTGACAATAACTTAATCTTTTATTAAGATTGCTTAACTTCTTCTACACTGTATTTCGAAACCGACGAACTGCGTCTTTAATTTAAACAAATAGGGCTCACTGCGTGAGATTTAGCGTAAAGAAATTTACACGTTCTTGAACCGTCGCGAAACCTAACAGCCTCGTTTTTACGTTGATTCCAGATGGGAATTTCTTTAGATCAGCCGGCTACTACAAATTAGGTTTTTCTGCAGTTTTCCTAATTCGTAATACCTCTAAAAAGCATTTGCTTTGAGGGAAAGGAACACCACTTCCATTATAAAATAATCGCCTTCGTTAGGATTTTCAAAAATAGCGCCAATCACAACTAGACTTGATAACGCCAGCTTTGAAGGAACGCGTCCCGAATCTCCGCGTACGTCGAAAATAACGCGCGCACGTAACGGACGTTCGGAGAGAGCCGTTGGATTAAGCCGCGAGAGAATTCGCGACGTCGAAAATTGATACATGCAATAGGGCATAAATCACGAAAAACGAGTTAAATACATGAATGGAAAGAAGAAAACAGAAGAGATTTTGTCATTTAAAAGTAGACATAGGGAACAGCAATATTCATAAATCTCTATGTCTACTTCTTAATAAAGACTTGCCCAGTTTCATTAAGTTCGTCACACAAAATCAGAACAGAAATTGCATGTCTTCGTTTCCACGACTTATTCAAACAGAAAAAGCGATTATCTTGCGAAACAATTCATTCGGAATGAGTAAATTGTTCGTGCGTTATCAATTATTCTCCCATTAATTGCGCCCCATAAAACTCCAGTCCCCTTCTGTCATTCGCAGTTAATTAAATTCGAGTGGCAAAAAATCGTGGGGCAAGTACATTTTTTTGTAGTTTTACAGTGGAAAATAATTTCGGTGATTAACTCGAATGACAAATGTGCATCTTGGCTGGATATTTCTTTCCCGATTGTAATCATCGTTTTGCATAGTCTAAAGTCGTGACTCCTACACGGCAGGGTGCTTGCAATTCAAGTTCAACGTTTATTTGCTAATTAATCAGTGCTTTAATTCCTACTCGTTGCGTTGCACTCGTCGAGAAGGAACTATGTGCAAACGTCGGGACCTACATCGTTGAAAACTGAAAGCATCATGGTTATCGACAAATTGTAGGTGGTGCAATGCCGTAGCGACGGCGGCGGCGGCACTTCATTGCGACCAGACTAATTAGTTTTGCAACACGGCAACGAAACATGTGTCATTTGGTATTGACGACAGCGATTACCGTTTATAATTACCGTTCTAAATTATTGCGATTGTGGGTCAGTCGAACTCAAGGACGACGGGGACATTCTTGTTGGCTCTTTTGTTTCTAAAAATTCGAGTTTTGTTGGGTTTTCATTTCTTTACCCGTTATTTTTGAAAGTTATTGCGATTTAACCCGTCCTCGCAACCGCATTGTCTTGGCGGGACATTAAAAGTTGTGCTTTCTATAGAATGGCTTTGAACTCGCTATTTATCGTCTGAAATTACATGTCCCACGGGGCCCAAATTTTTCGTAAACGCACACTGTTGGGGCTGTTCTATGCGCCAGATTTTATAACGTTGAACTACAATCATTGACTGAGTGGGGTGAAAGTAATGTTGGCCGTTTGTGATCTTAAATATCATGAGGCCGAAGTTGGAATGGGTGATCGGCAGATTATAGTCTGAAATTTCGCTGCGCATCTCTCTGGTTGGGGTTTTTGAAGGGACACGCTTAGCGAATAATGGAAATGCACCTTCTCCTTCTTTTACTTTGACATCATGAACTTTACTCACCGTTACATTCACACCTTCTGGCTGAAAAATGATGTGCAACGGACGCCATGTCCCAAGGAAAACCTGTCAATTTTTATAATTATTCCAAAAAATTTTACCTCAACTAATTTCCATACAATAATGCAATCTTGATTCAAATTTAGAATCCGCACTGAGCTCTACGACGGCTCAAGGCGTATTAATTAAATTTCGCTCTTTTAATTTTTTTCACTATCTTTACGTCGATCGACTTGTATTAAAATTTCCTCTCTCTTAGAACTGATTAATTACCTTCCACATATGAGCAAAATTGATAGTTTTTTGAACAGCGTAGCTTCTTATCAGCGACCGGGTATGATTAAGTTGTAACGTATTATTCTAACTTATTATTCTTATGATATCTCGTGTGAATGAATCCTGAAGCGATTACATGCAAACAATTCGACAGGACTGTATCTACAACTTTAGCCCACAAATAACCAAATAAAATTTAAATTAAATAGTCCCCTTTAAAGAGCTTCCGTTACAGCCACAGATTTCTAGATTAGCACTGTCTTCCCATGGGGTTTTGTTATTTTTCATCTTTTCCAGTATTGAGGATATTTTTTTCTTTTGTTCTTCAGAATTTGCATCTTCTTTCTTCCTTGTTTTCAATAGTATTCGAGAGGTTGGTTTCTTTCTTCATATAGTCTTTGATAATCATTTCCTATTTCTTCTTGGTCTTTTTTGTGTCCGTTGTATCTTTTACGTCTCTGTTTTTACACTTCATGTTGTTTTCTTTTATTTTGTATGCTTGCTAGTCTCTTCTCCTAATTCATTTGTTGTAATTGTGTTAAATTGTTCGCTTCGCTTTTAGGATTTTTCTATCTATATTTGATGCCTGTCTTATCAGTTTCTTTATTTCCATTTCATTTATTTCTATCCTTGCTCGTATGATCGCTTCCAGTGTTCACTTTGGTAATTACCGTCACATCGAATAGAATATAAGTATATTTCGTACTCCAAATAAACACGAATTTTGTATTTT